GGATCGACAGCCGGGGGGGGGGGGGGGGAGCCTCGGTCGTCATCTGCGAACCAGAGGAAGAAGAACCAACGAAGCGCTTGCGAGGAGCAAGCTTGTGAGCCTTCCTCTTCCCCTTCTCGGACCTCGATCACTTGGCAGGAGGGGAACGGGATGGCGACCCGAAGTCAATTTTCTTTCCTTTGATTGGCGGGCGACCCATGTTGACGAGGAAGACAAAGAGAGACGAAGACTGGGACGCCATTCATAGGTTCGAATAGCAAATTAGGAGTTAGAACGAATCAGGAAGATATAATAAAAAAGATCACTGAAGATCCGACCATAATCCGACCATTGAAGAGAGGAGATCAGGGAGTGAGTTAAGCAATTTGCATTAAGTTAGATGGATACTTTCCAATATTCGAGCTAGGAAAAGAGCTCAATATTGAAAAGTGAGGGACTAGTTGATGGGGTGTGAACCCCGTGGGCTGAGAAAGGCTCAAGAAGAGAAGGGGTCAAGTCCAGACGAAGAGTGGCCCAAGAGAGGCATGGGCCAAACCGAGCGGTCGGAGCAAGTGAGAGGTCAGCGCGAGTACAAGGTTAACCCGAAGATAGCCATTAAGCATTTAAGAGGTCTATTAAAAAGCTCGGTCAATGAGCCGTTAGGAGGCCCAGTAACGGCAGCCCAACGGCTATAGAAGTTAATAGAGTTAATAAGCCCAATTATGGCCTTCAATGTAAGCTTTTAAAATGATTCAAGGGCTGACCCACTATAAAAAAGGGGGCCCCTCAAAGAGTGAAGGGGACGGCGAGAACAGGCCAATAATACACATATACATAGTTATTATCCTCTTTATTTCTATTCTTGAAAGGTGAATCCACCAACCAAGGTTGTGTTGGACCTCCCTGGGCCCAAAAATCGTAAAACCAACACTAATATTAAATGGTTGAGATTGGAAGTCAGCTTTGGCGTGAAGTATGAAGGGTTCAAGACAACATTGTGTGTCTATGGTTGATTGAAGACTTTGTGATGCTAATAATGTGGATCATGTGATGGGGTGAGCTTTACTATAAAAGAAAGACATCTTCTTTTGGAAAGTGACCAATTTTTTAGAATTCTATATTGAGAGAAAGGAATCTGCATTACAAAGTTATTTTATTAAATTCACTCTTTGCTATTAATTCGTGTGTGATTAAAACACTGAGCTGCACAGACAGTACCTGGAACAGCTGAAGTTTCGCTTGAAGATTCTCATGGCATGCACGGTTTAGTCTTGAGTAGGTGTTAGGAAGGGATGTGGTAGTAAAGGTTGATATCCATTTGTACTTACCTTTTGTATAACTCCTTGGTGAACATCGATAGTGGATTGGGTAGACGTGGGTTGCCCTGCAGACGTAGGAGAAGCGCTCCGAACTGCATAACAATTCTCTGTGTTCTTATTTTATTTTATGCTTTCAGTTCAGTTATTTACATTTGATTAAATAACCTAATTAATGAACACGATTGTTTCATAAATTAAAATCAAGTAGAATTCTTAGGTTCATCTTGTATTCATGATTCACGGTGCAATTTCATATATGACACCTCAAAAAATCCTTATCATTATATTTTATAACAGTATAATGTTAATAGTTGTATATAGTTCTTTAAAACAATGTTGTGTTCTACTTCTTGAGGGCTTGAAGATCAGCATAGTGCTTGGTTATCCAACCTTGTATTATCTCAATCTCCTTGTTTCGTTGCTCAGTTAACTAATTCGGACTCGTAGCTCTTTCACCATTTAAGTCTAGACAATGAGAGACTATAACACTCCAAACAAATTTATACTTTCATCAGCAATCATATATATATATATATATATATATATATATATATATATATATATATATATATATATATATCGTCGTAGGATGGTGCAGTAGAAGGGAGTGAGACGAGGAATGTTGTGTGGGGTTATAGAAAGGGAAGTTGTGGAGGAGAGAATGAGAAGAAAGAGGCATTGAATTACAAGTCTTAAGAACTCCATTGCAACTTGCAAGGAATATAATGTAAGTTGAAGAATATTATGACTTTTTAGAGTTAATTTCACTAGAGGTCCCTTATCTTTGGTGACAATTCTAAATTTAGTTCTAAATTATCTTTTTTGCGATTTAACATCACAGACTATAATTTTTTTAGGATTTTTAGTCCTTATCATTATTTTTCCTATTTTTAGTAAGAGCATTTTTGTCTCTACATATTTTTTTTTTTTTGGTTATTTTTTCGATTTCAACTGGTTTAATTAGTTTGTAACTTTACTAAAAACTGGTTGGCCCCTATCTTTTTGTCGATTCATTGCCAAAATCATTCGACTACCTCATTAATACCATAATTATTGTACCCTTTAACCTTTTCGCCTTTATTAAAAATTAAAAATCCCCTTAGCTTCTCTACATGCTAACCGTAACATCACTCGTACTTTCAATCTACCAACACTTAGATCTACGCCACGCGTTGTCATCTGGTGGCATCCCTTGGCCTATAAATACCCCTTTATTTCTCTCATTTTCATTTACTCTCGCTTTTCTTGTAGTCGCAACTCCTTCAAATTCGATCTTTTCTAAGCCTTTTGCGAGCCGTCCCATCTTCCTACACAGTAGTCAGTTCGTGTTTCCACCCTCCTTCCTTCCAGGTGCATTCGTCTTTTTTACCCTTTTTCTAAAATTGTCTTCCTACTACTCTACCTACCAAGGCGGTTACATATAACCCTTTGACGTCTACCTCCAAGTCGACTGCTTTTCTTGGTGCCACGTGATAACACCTCTATTTGACTATATTTTACCCCCACCCCCACCCCCACCCCCCACTTATTCCATGCATATTATGGCCTGTAAAGTTATGAATTGTGACTAATTTCTGTGTCTTTATCTATAATTTCAACCATTTACACAATAAAGAGAAAAAGGAGCATCATAAGTGATTTTGGCAATTGAGGAGCTAAGGAACTAGTCGGATGAGAGCAAGAGGACACATAGGAGCAACATGGGATCGGAGGAGATGACATATAATTGAGCGAAACATGTGATGTGGCAACTTTTCAACAAAAGTCACGGGCGTCGTCACACTCGTGAGAGAGCCAGCCTCTGGGCACAAGTGTCGACACGCTCGTGATGTAGCTATCCGCATAGACGGGCTACGCCACGCTCGTCTCGTCATTCATGCACATGTCCTTGTTCCGAGATTTAATATGTCATTTAAGATTTTAGAAAGGTAGATTCGAACCCGAGTCCCATAAAATCATCAATGTGCTATCAATCATAGAGGATTTTATTGAAGAAAAAAATAATTATAGGAGATTTTTATAGAGGTAAAATATTTTAAATCACATTGAGTTCTTTTAAAATGTTTTGTAATGTCAAATCTTATACATTGTATTAGAAAATCTAACACATTCATCAATGAGGTTAAGGCCATGTATATGGGCGAATGATGCCAATAAATGTTAACAAAAATTGAGGCAGGTTCATAACTTTATGTATAGACTATATATATATATAGTCCGAAAGTAAGTTAGGTTTGTTTTTCAAATTTAAATTTTGATCCAAATCATTTTATATATCAAGTATAATATAATTACTTTATTATATAGAATTTAATATTTATTAAATAAAATAATAACTATGTTGTTAACCAATAAAATTTTAATGTATAATTAATGTTAATAAAAAAAATACTACAAGAAAAATGTTACTTGATTATTTACAAAAATAATAGTTTAAAATTATTGTAATCACAAAAAATGTTCAATTATTATTATGTAAATTAATTATATAATAGAATTCTCAATCGTCTGATTAGAAGTTAGACGCCTTATCCATTAAGCCATAAACACATAATAAATCTATCTATATATTTTAAAATATAAATGTCCTTTTCCACCCATCCTACTATCCTAGACAAACAATTCAATTTTGAAATAAAAAAACAATCAAAAGGCATAGTGGCCTAAAAAGTACAAAAGAAGGGGCTTGGAGTGAATTTAATAAAACTTGCTGCAATCGGAGGCTAGAACAGTGACCTCGCCTGTGCAACACGCGTTCCAGACCACGAATCATCAATTGTTTACAAAGGGGGGGGGGGGGGGGCTTGGAGTAAATTGAATAAAACTTGCTGCAATTGAAGACTAGACAAGGGACCTCGCCCGTGCAAAACGCGTCCAAACTACCAGGCCGAATCATCAATTGTTTACCAGTGCGTTGCATTAATATTTATTCCCTACCCCGTTCTATATCTTTGTACCCGATTTATGGTGGACCTGGTCCCGATAAAATCATCAATTATAATATATATATATATATATATATGATTTTGGTTCCTGTGAGAACATGTCTTCCTGTGCGGTCAGTGCGGCATACACCATTAGGTATGCATAACCATACAGTGTTTGAGAATACACATGAATGAAATGCCAAAAATGCACCACACAAAAACAAAATACACCACACATAATAGTGCATTTTCGAACACTGTGTGGTGCATTTATATATACCTAATGGTGTATGCCGCACTGACCGCACGGGAAGACCTGTTCTCACAGGAACCTGAGCCTATATATATATTACAATACTTACTAAATAAATTTATTCCAGAATCCTTAAAGCTTTATTGTTATAATAATATATATTAAAATGCATATCAAATAAATTACGTACATACAAAGTCGTTAACCATTTTAGATTTGTAAAGCATTATATGTATATATAAAATATTTAAAATAATTTTTGTCAACACGTGCCACTCAACACTCAAAGAGCCAAGCCAAGGAGGCAGTTAATTCAGTTGAACCTGATTAGACCTTGGCAGTTAGTTGTTGAGCTTTCCCTCCTTTTTCCTTGCTTGTATATAAGGCTGCAAGCCTTCTTCTGTAAAGACTGATTTTCAAAAGTAATGATCCATCCTCCTTTCTCCATATTTCAGCATATTGCATTTTTCCTTCTCTCACTTTCTTCTCTGAATTCCATCATGGTGTCAGAGCCATGAGGTCATGGCCTGGCAAACACCACTGGTAAACACAATTCGTTCCCAAATGGCAGCAACCAATCCAACAGTAACCGTTCCAGCAACAACCAATCCAGTAGGACCTCCTCCGGGCTTTGCAACTTATGATCCAAGAGACAGAACTGATCCTCTCCATCTTCACCCCAATGAGAGTCCTTCACTACAGCTTGTGACTGCTCAGTTGGAAGGTAGATCCAATTACCATCCATGGGCAAGGGCCATGGAAATGGCATTGAGGTCGAAGAACAAGATGGGCTTAGTTGATGGAACCCTAGCAATTCCCAGTAAATCAGATCCCAGATATTTCTACTGGGATCAATGCAACAATATGGTCTTATCATGGATTCTTAGAGCTGTTTCTCCCACCATTGGACGGAGTGTGCCGTGGATCAACACTGCTGAGGGTGTATCGAAGGATTTGAAAAAGCGTTTTAGCCAACAAGATGTCTTTCGTATTGCAGAAATCCAATCTGAAATCTATAGAACAAAGCAAGGTACATCCTCTGTGAATGACTATTTCACACAATTAAAGTTGTTGTGGGATGAATTATTTGTGTTAAGGCCAGTACCCTCCTATGAATGCTCATCAAGATGTGAATGTGGTAATAAGATTTCTGAGAAAATCAGGGCACAATTAGAGAATGACATGCTATCATCTTTTCTCATTGGCCTAAATGATAACTTTGGCAACACTAAGAGGCAGATTATGTTGATGAAACCATTGCCTGATGTTGGAGAAGCATTCTCTATGGTTTCCCAACAAGAAAGGAAGATCACTGTGGAATCTAGTATTCTGGATGAAAATCTAACAGGGGCAGGGGTCTTCTTCACAAAATATGAAGGCAAGAAGTCTTATCCAAATCAGAAACAGAAACCAGTGTGCAGCTTCTGTGGATACACTGGTCACACCATCGAGAAATGCTACAAAAAGCATGGGTATCCTCCCAGTTGGAAGCCAAGAAACAAGGGAATGGGAGCTGTTAATCAGGTCCAATCCAATCTGCAAGAACCTGGCAAATCAGAGACTGATCAGTCTCTTTTTAACCAAGAAGACTATAAGAGGTTCTTGGAATTCAAGAAGCAAAGTGAAGCCATCAGCTCTCCTCTCCAAACTGCTCCTCAAGTTAATGCCATAGCTGCCAACTTTATTCCAAATGCTGCAGTAGAAGGTAAAACTATCAACTATAACAATGAGCTGAGAAATTCAGAATCCATATGGATCCTGGACAGTGGTGCCACACACCACATTGTATGCAAGTTAAGTCTACTGAAAAATCCCAAGGAAGTTCAAGGAATACATGTTGACTTACCAAATGGACACCAAGCTCAAGTTTCCCACATTGGGACTGTTCAACTGTCAACAGACTTAGTTCTATTCAATGTTCTGTGTGTATCTATCTTTCAATATAATCTGATATCCTTGGGGGTGAACTTAGAAGAAGACCTAATTGCAGCATCCTATTCCACTCTAATCAATGTGTTATACAGGATCAACTCCAAGGGAATATGATTGGCATAGCTGAGTTGAAGAAAGGGCTCTATCAGCTTACTCTCCCAGATTTCCTCTTTTGTAAACCTGCTGTAAATAGCTGCAATTTTTGGCATGCTAGGCTTGGACATACTTCTGAAAATAAGATTAGAATTCTACAATCAATTCACAATAAAATTTGTAATGACAAGCCCAATGTATGTGATTGTTGTCATTTGGCCAAACAAAAAAGATTGCCTTTTAAGCTTAGCTCTACAGTTTTTGCTAATTGTTTTGATTTGGTGCATGCTGACATTTGGGGTCCATACCAAATCCCCACTGTTTATGGTCATAAATATTTCCTCACTTTAGTAGATGATTACAGTAGAGCCACTTGGGTCTATCTAATGAGGTGCAAGAGTGAAGTTAAGTAGTTGATGCAAGGCTTTTGTGAGCTTGTCAACACACAGTTTGGCAAGAATGTGAAGTGTATAAGAACTGACAATGGGAAAGAGTTTCTCTTGAAGGATTTCTATCAAAACAAAGGCATTCTTCACCAAACATCCTGTGTATATAGTCCCCAGCAAAATAGCATTGTTGAAAGGAAACATGGCCACATTTTGGCAGTGGCAAGAGCTCTCAGAATTCAAGCTCATCTACCTGAGGCTTTTTGGGGGGATTGCATCCTTCATGCAGTATATATTATCAATAGACTTCCTTCAATTTCCCTAGACAACAATATACCTTACAAAGTCCTTTTGGTAAAATGCCACAATACCAACATCTTAGAGTATTTAGTTGTCTAGCCTTTGTTGTGATCCCCAGCTGCCAGAGAAGAAAACTATCTCCAAGAGCCAAAAAAATGCATTTTCCTAGGCTTTGCTAGTGGGGTGAAGGGCTACAAACTATATGATCTACAAACCAAAGAAGTCTTTCTGTCCAGAGATGTCTGTTTTTATGAAGGCTCATTCCCATTCCAGTACAGTCAAGATGATCAGAGTGATGAAACCAACTTGGAAACTGATCTTGTCCTACCTTCACAATTGATAAGTGGCTTAGATAATGATGATCAAGTGCAAGAAATCACCACTGATCCAAGAGATCATCATCAAGCTCAAGGAGATACTGATGGATAGGTTCAATCAATGCCAACAGCAGTTCAAGAAGAGTTCTTTACAGAACCTGCACCTGAACCTCAGCTAAGAAGATCAACCAGAGTTAGAACCACTCCTACCTACCTTGGTGATTATACTTGTCAGAATGCTACTGCAAAGAGAACATCTCCACATCTCATCTCTGATGTTCTCTCCTATAACAGTCTGTCTCAGAAGTTCAAGGCCTTTGTTGTTAATGCCTTGGTGGCCAAAGAACCCAAAACCTATAATGAAGCTATCAAAAAGGAGTGTTGGAGAAAGGCTATGCAGGATGAAATTGATGCTCTGCAAGCCAACAACACATGGGTGCTTACAGAACTCCCTCCCAATAAGGAACCAATAGGATGCAAATGGGTATACAAAACTAAACTTAAAGCTGATGGTACCATAGAAAGGTACAAAGCTAGGCTGGTTGCAAAAGGGTACACACAAACCCCTGGTCTGGACTACCTTGACACCTTCAGTCCTGTTGCCAAGATAACTACCATAAGGATGTTATTGGCAGTGGCTGCAATCAAAGGCTGGGCTCTACACCAACTAGATGTCAACAATGCTTTCCTTCATGGGGACCTTGTTGAAGAAGTCTACATGAAGCTTCCTCCTGGGTTCTCTCCTCAAAACCCTGGTCAGGTGTGCAGATTGATAAAGAGCTTATATGGTTTGAAGCAAGCAAGTTGACAGTGGAATGTGAAGCTGACTCAAGAGCTTCTACACATAGGATTCAGGCAATCTCTATCTGATCCCTCCTTATTTCTCAGAGGATATGGAGACAGTTTTGTAGCTCTACTTGTTTATGTTGATGATTTTGTGATAGCAAGTCCTGATTCAATTCAAGTTCAGCAAATCAAAAAGCACTTAGATGATGCCTTTCATATTAAAGATCTGGGGTACCTAAAATTCTTTCTTGGATTGGAAATTGCAAGGAGCAGTTCAGGAATTTCCATGACACAGAGAAAATACACATTGGAGCTTCTTGAAGAAACAGATTTCATACATTGCAAGCCTGCAAAAACTCCTATGGTTACATCAGAAAGGTTCAGCAGAGACACTGGTGAAAAGCATGAGGATACATCTCAATATAGAAGACTTGTGGGAAAGCTTTTGTACTTAACTATAACAAGGCCTGACATTAGCTATGCCACTCAACAATTATCCTAGTTTCTAGAATGTCCTACTAATGCACATATGCAAGCAGCTCACAGGATTCTCAGGTACATCAAAGTAGCCCCAGGACAAGGCCTTTTCTTCTCAGCAACTTCATCTTTGCAGCTGAAAGGATTCACTGATTCAGACTGGGCTGCTTGTCCTGACACTAGGAGATCAGTAACTGGCTTTTGCATATTCCTTGGCAGTTCCCTGGTCACTTGGAAATCCAAAAAGCAAGCCACAATCTCAAGAAGTTCCTCTGAAGCTGAGTATAGAGCCCTAGCATCCACAGCTTGTGAAATCCAATGGCTACTGTACCTGCTGCAAGATTTGGGGATAGTTAAAAACCCTCCTGCCTTGTTGTTTTGTGACAACAAATCTGCCATAGCCATAGCTGAGAACCCTGTGTTCCATGAAAGAACGAAGCACATTGAGCTAGATTGTCACTTGGTGAGAGAAAAATTACAAAAAGGAGTTCTAAAACTGCTACATGTCTCCTCTGCTAATCAACTTGCAGATGTTTTTACCAAGCCTCTTGCACAAAATAGCTTTCATGATCTTATCTCCAAGCTGGAGCTACACAATATGTACCTTCCAGCTTGTGGGGGGGGGGGGGGGTGTCAACACGTGCCACTCAACACTCAAAGAGCCAAGCCAAGGAGGCAGTTAATTCAGTTGAACCTTATTAGACCTTGGCAGTTAGTTGTTGAGCTTTCCCTCCTTTTTCCTTGCTTGTATATAAGGCTGCAAGCCTTCTTCTGTAAAGACTGATTTTCCAAAGTAATGATCCATCCTCCTTTCTCCATATTTCAGCATATTGCATTTTTCCTTCTCTCACTTTCTTCTCTGAATTCCATCAATTTTGCTATATATAATATTATAATTATAATTTCTTCATATTTGGCAATTGAAATATATAATATTAGATAAAGACAAAATTATTATTATTTATGTCATACAATAGAATGATTAATTTTTATTTTAATTTCTTTTTAGGTATGAAAGAAATCATTAAACAAAATTATAATTATTTATGCCATGCAATTTCAATTATGGTTGGAATATATAATTGGAGTTATTTTAAAACATGAAAATAAAAATATCAATATACGTGTCGTTTAAAAGATCTTAATTAAAGTTTTATGATATATTTTTATATATTAATTGTTTTTGTTAAAAAAAAAAAAAAAAAAAAACTTAAGTTTAAATAAAGAAGATCTTGGAAGAGGATCAATTTGGCATTCCGGTTTGAAGGCAATTAGAGGATGTATAGCTTTGAGTATTGTATAGGTATTCCCTTTCCTCATTGATAAAATATAGGAAAAGAAAAAAAGAAAAAAAGAAAAAAAGAATTTAATTCAGTGTACCTTAAATATGAACCATGGTCCATGACATGATAATCTAGTATTTTTGGCAATCATTACTATAAACGAAATTAACATATATAACATTATTTTACGGAGTATTATTTAATTATTTAAAGTAATTTCAAATTTCAAAATATAAGTATTTTCCTAGGATGGCTGGAAATTAAAAATATTCAGGAGCAAGTTTAGGTTTGTAATATTTGTCTATAATATTATATTTGTATATAAAAAAAAAATTAAAAATATTATAGCAGTTTTAATTTCTCGAATTTGAATCCCATTGAATGAAAGCATGATGTGTAGGTACTAGGAAGAGATTGTTGGCCTGCAGCTACATCCTACTATCCAAACTTGATATTGATTGCTATGCAAGTATAAAGAAATAGAGTTCGACTAACGTATAGCATGCTTCCTAACCTTCAGCTAAGTTCAATTACTTGCACTTTCATTGTTTACATGCTTTAATTTCTCTATATTTGTGGGCTTAGCTCTTACATACCTAGAAATAGTTTGTGCTTAGCTCCTTAAGAATGATATCCCTTGTGGAATCCCATCATCCATACTCAACTACATTGTAGTATCTGTTCATATACTTTCTCAACCTACTGAAACACAAAGAGCTAATAACGCCTCCACTGAGGCTCGAACTCATAACCTTCCAAATGGAAGTCCAACCCGGATACCATTGGACCACATAGTCCCGATACTCTATTACTATTTAATTGAATTATTATGAAGAATCTATTCTTTCTTTCTTTTTTTTTCGATTTATATCTTCAAATATAAAGAATACAATCTTATTTAGCAGTTTGAATGATCTTAGGCAGGGTAACTATCCCAACAGGACTATATTGATGCCTTTCATGGTCAACCTAAACTCCATTCTTGTCTGAGTGTAAAGACATTGGTGCCGAATGGAGCTATAGTATAAGGTACAGTCACACATATCTTTGTAGCATCTAATTCAATCATGCATACTAAAAGGAATTTTTAATATAAAAGACACCAGTGCAGATATAACACCTTAAAAAATCCTTATTTTATTATAATTTTATAACACTACTCCGTATAATGTTAACTGTTGTATATTATATAGTTCTTTAAAACAATACAATGTTATGTTCTACTTCTTAAGGGCTTGAAGATCAGCATAGTACTTGGTTATCCAACCTTGTATTATCTCAATCTCCTTGTTCCGTTGCTTGGTTAACCAATTCGGATCCGTAGCACTTTCCCCATTTATGTCCAGACAATGAGACCCTACAACACTCCAAACAAATTTATACTTTAATTAAGTACTATGGAGACAAGAATTTGACAGTATTCAGTACAACTAAAGGCATAAATGCTATATACATATTGATGAACATACCATTTTGGGTATAAACTGCAAGTATAGTATCCGATATGTTTTCCAAAACTCTGTCAATCCACAAAAGACAAGAAAGCAAATAGATAACTTAAGATATGGAGGCCGGGTGCAGTGGGAATTTTTTTTTATTAACTAAAAAGAGTGAGAATTTTAGATTACCCAGCAATGCTATATGGGTCTCTCAGACCGTTGGAGAAAATGATGTTGCTACCAAAATTCCGAAGAACTAATTTAATATCCTGCGATTTTAAGTTGTCATATAATAATATAAACTAAAGCTAGCTCATGTGCATACATGAAGAAATTTCGCTGCTGCATATTCCAATATAATACAACCATGCCAAAAAAGAAAAAAAAAAAAAAAAAAAAAAAGTTGAAGAACATACATGTCCTCCGTAATAGGTTGTAACCCAGTGTGGTCGAGGTGGAACGCCATAGGTATCAATGCAGAACTGAGAATATTCGTGCAGATTGAAAGGAGCTGGATCGAACATGGAGTCGTTGCCTCTCGCAATCGGAAACACCATTTCGCTACAACTCTACACATGCACCAAAATCTTTAATTTCTTATTACATAATAATCGGCAAATTACATCATGGATCAGGATCCATCTTGCATTATGTACCCTGATTCGAAATGATATTAAGACTATGTGTTTATAGTTAAAATATTAGGTATATTTAACATATATTAAAAAAATCGTTAGGTCCTCATTGGGTGTCCGGGAGCACCTAGAGCCCTTTTTTTATATTATTATTTTAATTTTTATTTTATTTTTAATTTTTTAAAACGTGATAGTTATAAATTATTTAATACTTTAATAGTTAATACTAAAATATTAAATATTAACCTAAAAAAACATCTAAAATTGTAAATTTTATAAAGAACATATTGATCTATCACACAATTTAGAGTTATTTCGCTCAAAACAACGTTGTTTTAAGTAAAATAACCCATTTAAATGAGAGGCAGACAATAATACTGTTTACTTACTTGCCAATTCCATCCCCAACTATCATCATCCTCTCCGGGAGACGCCGACGTCTCTTCAGTGGAAACATTGTAGCAAGGTTGATTCCCTACTCTGGCGACGACACCCGCATGTATACGGTCAAGAATATCAGCCCCTTTGGGCGCGCCATCTATGCCGCCGCACACCACCGTCACTGGATATTCCGGTGGCGAGTTATATTGAGCGGCGCCAACATACATATCATCCAAGTAATCCATTAGCTCCCACGACGAGTTTAAGGCCCTGTTTGGTAAAATAATTAGCGTATCAGCTAATTTTTACCTTATTTGACCACTATTAATTGTATAACTTGGTTAAAAAATCAATATAAGTGTTTGGTTAATTAGTTTTTTGTAACTCCAAAATGCTAAAATTCAAAAAGTTGTTCAAAACAACTTTTTCAATTAGCTTTTTAAAAAAAGAAATTATACATTTATAGCAAACAGCTATGAGCTACAACTAATTTACCAAACACTTTTCTACATTTAGCTAATGTTATCAACTAGTTATAACCTAATAAGCTAACAGCTATCAACTAACAACCATTTACTAAATAGGGCCTAAATCCCTAAACAAATTGAAGGGTAAAAGCTAGATGCGGAAATTTGCACAAACTCACTGGCAGAGCTTGAACTTGCTACTGAGAATGGAGAGGCCGTTTGGCTGGGAAGCAATTTTGTCAATAATGGACCATGATTTTTTTATAGTGAATAATGGACCATGATTTTTTTATAGTTTGATAACAACTCTCGCTAACTTCCTGCAACCAACATTCATAAAATTAAATTATTCAACAAAAAATATACATGCCACGTTTGGTAAAATAGTTAGCATATTAGTCAATTTTGACTTATTTGACCATTATTAATTGTTTGACTTAGTTAAAACAAATCAATATAAGTGTTTGGTCAATTAGCTTTTTGTAACTCCAAAATGCTAAAATCACTGCTAGAAATTATGGAATTTCCGACCACCTGAAAATGATCTTAAATCAAGTTGAAAGCCTTGTTCCGACCACTTTTAGTATCCGGAAAAACGTTTGTTGCTATTTCCGACCACTTTTTGCTTTCGACTTGATATAAGAACACTTTCAGGTGGTCGGAAATTCCATAATTTCTAGCAGTGAATTCAAAAAGCTGCTCAAAGCAACTCTTTCAATTGACTTTTTGAGAAAATAAATTATACCAAACATGTATCGACTAACAGCTAATTTACCAAATACACTTCTACAATCAGCTAATGTTATCAATTAGTTATACCCTCTAATTAACTCAATCAGCTAACAGCTAATAGTCATTTATCAAACAGGACCACAATCTTGTATCAAGTAAGAACTACTTCAAGGGAGTGGAAGTTTCAGTAAAGAATTGTGAGAGAGAATATAGCGAAAGAATGTTAGGAAAAGTATGAAAACATTGTATAATTATAATTCTGGTTCACATTTTACAATACATTACATGCCTATTGTTTATAACAATGTATTTGGTAATAAAGTCTGACTAATTCTAATATTTTACTAATTCTAATAATAATGTAGTAATTCATATTCTAATGTTTCTCCAATTCTAATAATATAATAAATCCTATTATAATGTTGATCTAATTCTAATAATACAATACTTTGTATACCTGTAGCATAACAAAAAATCATTATCATTATGTGATATAACAAAAAGTTTAACTGCATACTTACCCTAAAATCTTTAGTTACTATGGAATAGTATCCATTTTGTGGTGTGATATCGTCAAAGTAGAGAATGGGAGCTGAGGAAGCCAAGGCACCCAGTGAAACATGTGGATACTTCAACCGAAACCACGAAGCAAGCACTTCAAAATATAAGACAAAATTCATATATATATATATATATATATATATATATATATATATATATATATGCTTTAATTCCTCTAAAAATTTAAATAAAAATTATTTGAACTCTAGAAAATATATAAGGAAAAATATAATATCATACTTCCTCCATATGATCCTCCCACAACAATGATGGGGCAATCTTGAGCCGAGTATTCCTTCTTTATGTATAACAATACCTCTGCATAATCAGCCAAAGCTTGAGCCGAGTTGAAATAGCCACGAGTCTCATCCTTCATAGCTTCTTTCATGGTTCCGAATGGAATTGATTCCCCGTAGTACCTATGCTGCATGGTTAAGATAATTTTAGGATTAAAGGCTTACCACTCATGCCAAAAGTTAGAGCTAGTAGCGAAATACGCAATTTTATTTCGCTATAGACTACCATCACATTTTCGAGAGGCAGGTGTTGGACTTAACCCTTCACCGACCTCCGTCCAACAATCTTTTAGCCATCAATTGATGAATTTGACCATTTACTGGCCTCCACCCAGTAGATAATATAATGAAAAAAGACTTGCATGGAGCATTTAATACTAGTACTATATACTACGTTATTATACTAATAAACCTCGTATATATATATCATTGTATCACCTCTATGTAGACAAGAAGAGCCTTAAAACGAGGGGCATTATCGGTGAGAAATCCAATGCCTAGAGGATGAGAGTCGATTGAAGATTCAGCGCCGAGCCATACGAAGATAGGGGAGTTGGATTGGGCACCACCCCAGAAGTTGGAGTTGACTATGTATCTCTGTTTGAAGGTGGCATAGCTTTGAGGTCCATAATTGAAGTGATCCAATGTTTGGTTGTAATAATAGGTTTTGAATTGAGCAGGGAGAGAGTCAGAGGTAGCAGAAGTCCTGTCGGAAGAAGAAGATAACCGATACTGTCTGGTGCGGTAGAACGGAGTGAGACGAGGAATTTTGTGTGGGGTTAGAGAAAGGGAAGTTGTGGAGAAGAGAATGAGAAGAAAGAGGTATTGAATTATAAGTCTTAAGAACTCCATTGCAAGGAATATAATTGAGAAATTGAAGAGTGAGATGCATGCCCTGTGTATTATGGCTTTTTATTATGATGGATGGCCAACAAAGTTTGTAAAATTATTCCTATTTTGGTATGAATTAGAAAATCTAATTCTGTGATATTAAGGAAAATAAATTCTTTTCTTTCAAAAAAAAAAAACTATTTATATGAGTTTGGTTACTTCTCCCTAAATAACTATTTATTCTCCATACAAGGAAATATTTAATTTTGTATTTTAAATAATTATATATAGATTCATATATTCTTAATATATTACAACAAATTCATGCACGGGTGCAAAATAAGTTTGGTTACTTCTCCCTAAATAACTATTTATTCTCTATACAAGGAAATGTATAACTCCACATGTATTTTGGAAAAGTATGAAATTATATGAGTTTTGAAAATATAAAAAACCCAAGCCATTATTTTACGGGGTGGAGTGAAACTTACTTAGCTTATGCTAATTTTTGTCAACATTCTGTTTTTGTGTAAAAAATTTTATACAAGTGAACATGGATAGGAATTCGGGATAAATTCAAGTTGAGAAGGAATACAGTTTAATTATTTGTTATTTTGAGGAAAATATTGTTGTGTAGTAATTTCAGTTTTAAGTACTAAGTTGATTTTGAGATATTATTTGATGTTGTAAATTTAGCATAATTACCATAAATGATGTTTAATAATTGACAAATTCTATTAGGCAATAAAAATTACCATTATAAAATCTTTTGTACTATGGATACATTATTTTTAATTATTTCGGTTTAATAATATTATATCTTATTTATAAAAAAATCAAAGTAATATTTTTAGTACTATTGGATATTGATTGACTAAAAATAATCTTAATTATTATTAAGGCAATTAATGGGTATTTAGCTTTAAAAACTCTTCAAATATATGAATTATGCATACCATAGAATCAATTAGTAAGACAATTAGCCCCCCTGGCATTGAGGAAATTATTGAAAGGTCGCCTTCGTGCGATGTGGGCTAGCAGCGATGCTAACTAGCTCCTTTCTCGGGTATCCCCCTCCTCTCTGATGTAAAAAAAAAAAAAAAAAAAAAAAAAAAAAAAAAAAATTAGTAAGACAATTATATTAGGTAATCTAATTAATAATTTACTTTTTAAATTATATCCACTTTTCAATAATGAATATAAGATTTTATCCGTGGAAATAATTATGGCAATTTCATTAAATTATAATTAATAAAATATGAAATATAATTAAGGAAATAAAATTTTTAAATTAACAAAACATGAATATTTATAATTTTTAAAAAATATACATACATACACTTTTTTTAAGATAAACACATACATACACTTATGCACTATACTAATAATAATACAAAATTTAAATGTTACTTTTTTTTTGTTAAATTTCTAAATGTAATTTTTAATTATAAATCGATGAGTGCACATAATAGTGTTTATTTCAGTGTATTTTAGAGAATGAGGTTACAGGCTTTATATACACCAGAGCTAAATGATAGGAAACTAACATAGGATTATTCTAACAATCCTAATAATGCTAACCACTCAATAAAATCTATCAATATAAATTATAATTAATGAAATTATATTATATAATTTTCTTATATACATATTAATAAATATTATGTGTATATACAATGCATTATACAATCATATAAGGAAATGCGTCTGATTAACAAAACATGAATATTTAATTATGGCAATTTCATTAAATTATAATTAATAAAATATGAAATATAATTAAGGAAATAAAATTTTTAAATTAACAAAACATGAATATTTATAATTTTTAAAAAATATACATACATACACTTTTTTTAAGATAAACACATACATACACTTATGCACTATACTAATAATAATACAAAATTTAAATGTTACTTTTTTTTTGTTAAATTTCTAAATGTAATTTTTAATTATAAATCGATGAGTGCACATAATAGTGTTTATTTCAGTGTATTTTAGAGAATGAGGTTACAGGCTTTATATACACCAGAGCTAAATGATAGGAAACTAACATAGGATTATTCTAACAATCCTAATAATGCTAACCACTCAATAAAATCTATCAATATAAATTATAATTAATGAAATTATATTATATAATTTTCTTATATACATATTAATAAATATTATGTGTATATACAATGCATTATACAATCATATAAGGAAATGCGTCTGATTAACAAAACATGAATATTTAATTATGGCAATTTCATTAAATTATAATTAATAAAATATGAAATATAATTAAGGAAATAAAATTTTTAAATTAACAAAACATGAATATTTATAATTTTTAAAAAATATACATACATACACTTTTTTTAAGATAAACACATACATACACTTATGCACTATACTAATAATAATACAAAATTTAAATGTTACTTTTTTTTTGTTAAATTTCTAAATGTAATTTTTAATTATAAATCGATGAGTGCACATAATAGTGTTTATTTCAGTGTATTTTAGAGAATGAGGTTACAGGCTTTATATACACCAGAGCTAAATGATAGGAAACTAACATAGGATTATTCTAACAATCCTAATAATGCTAACCACTCAATAAAATCTATCAATATAAATTATAATTAATGAAATTATATTATATAATTTTCTTATATACATATTAATAAATATTATGTGTATATACAATGCATTATACAATCATATAAGGAAATGCGTCTGATTAGAGTTTAAATTTACTCATACAAAATTTAAAATTTACATTTTTTATTGATTTCTAAGTATATATAATTTTGTTAGTTATTATTCATATTTTTAGAATTATAATATATTTGAAATATAATTAGGAATAAATCAACTTAATTATGTGAATTTTTTTTATAAATTTATCTAAATATGTAATTAATAGAGATTATATTAATCATACAAAATTTAAATTTTGTATGTTATGAAAATAGATACTTGACCAAATATATAAAAGTCCAACTATATTATTATATTGTACAGTTTAACATCTTTTCATTTTTGTCTATTTTCAATTTTAAATTCTTAATAACAAAAAATTTTCGTGCAACGAACGAGTAAAACACTATATTTTAAAAAATACAATTGGATAAATGTCATAAATTAATTAGTACAATATCATTTCTGTTTATAATAATTAAAGAAAAAAATAAATAATTAAAATATGTGAACCAATGATTTCAAAATGAAATTAATATACAATTACAAATAAATATATCATGATTAGATTTACTTTAATTAGTTTTAATTTTCTTAATGAAATGACTTTTCTTTATCAGTTTTTTATGGGAGACTAAGGGAGTGTTTGTGTTGCTAGAAAATATTTTAAAAATAAAAATACTTACTAATAAAAAATAATTTTAAAATATTTTTTTAACCCCTAATAACATGTGTAAATCTTATATTTTTAAAAAAAATACAAATTGATAAATATTATAAATTAATTAGTACAATATCATTTCTGTTTATAATAATTAAAGAAAAAATAAATAATTCAAATATGTTAAGCAATGATTTTAAAATGAAATTAATCTATTTATATTATTAATAAAAGTAAATAATAATTTACACAAATCTATATTTATACTATTAATAAAAGTAAAATCTTCCATTAAAATGTCTCTTACCCCTTCTGATACAAGATTACCCTTCAAGTTCTAGCATAAACAATTTCCGTTGATGCTCGCATATACCATGACTGCTGTCAACAAAAGTCAGGGCCAAATACTAACTCACGTTGGGTTATTACTTAAAAAAAAAAAGTCTTTAATCACGATCAATTGTACGTGACTTTTTCCCGAGTCACCCATCCTGATGGCTTGAAGGTTTTAACTCTACACGAGGATGCATGGACAAAATTCTGTTACTACTACCAATATCGTCTACAAAGATATTTTCAATAATGTGTAATTCAAGCCAGTGATATTATAAGAAAACAATAATTTACATCAATATATATCTATACTATAATTTCGGTGTAATTTTATAAGAAAATAATAATTTATTAATTATTATTTATGTCAGTCTATATCTATACTATTAATAAAAGTAAAATTTTTCATAAATAATGTTTAATAATTGACAAATTCTATTAGGCAATAAAAATTACTATTATAAAATTTTTGTACTACGGACACATTATATTTAATTATTTCGGTTTAATACTATTATATCTTATTTATAAAAATTGAAAGTAATACTTTTAGTACTATTGAATATTGATTGACTAAAAATTATCTTAATTATTATTAAGGTAATTAATAGGTATTTAGCTTTAACAAGTCTTCAAATATATGAATTATACATAGTAGCATGGAATCAATTAGTAGGACAATTATATTAGGTAATCTAATTAATAATTTACTTTTTAAATTTTATCTCATTTTCAATAATGAATGTTTTCTTAAAGTATATACACACACTATGCTTATCAATATAGAATTAAAAGTGTGTGTGTGTGTGTGTCTATCTATATCTATATATATATATATATATATATATATATATATATATATATATATATATATATATATATATATATACACTTAATGTATAATATGTATTCAAAATAATTTTAAAATATTAGTTTAACCCTTAAACATGAGAAAATTTTATATTTTAAAAAAAAAGATACAATTTGATAAATATTATAAATTAATTATTGCAATATCATTTATGTTTACAATGAGAATAATTAAAGAAAAAATAAATAATTCAAATATGTGAACCAATGATTTCAAAATAAAATTAATATACAGTTACAACTTACAAATAAATATAGCATCATTAGATTTAATTTAATTAGTTTTAATTTCCGTAATAAAATGATTTTTCTTTATCAGTTTTTGATGGGAGAGTAATGGAGTGTTTGGGTTGCTAGAAAATATTTTTAAAATAAAAATAATTTTAAAATTTTTTTAACCCATAAACATGTGAAAATTTTATATTTTTAAAAAGATACAATTTGATAAACATCATAAATTAATTATTGCAATATCATTTATGTTTACCATGCGAATAAATAATGAAAAAATAAATAATTCAAATATGTTAACCAATGATTTCAAAATGAAATTAATCTAT